CGAATGAGTTTTGAAACGAATGGGTTAAACCCAGCGTTTAACCCTTCCATTTATATTGTTATTTTATTTTTTAAAAAAACTATAATTCTTTTTTTCTTTTTAATCATGTTTATTAATTTCAAAAATTAGAAAAAAAATTGATTTTGAATTAAGCAAGCATATCTTTTTTTTTGGAAAATAACAAAATTTAAAGGAAGAAATTCAAAAAGAGTTGACTCTCAAAAGTCAGTTTCTAATATCTTGAATGGGTAGGATAATTTCGAAGAGATTTTTCAAATATTTAAGTAAATTTTTTTAATTTTTTTAAATTATTATTATTATTTTGAAAATATAATCCTAAAAAGGATTAAATTTTTTTTTGTATTTTTATATTTTTTGGTTATTTTTTAATGAATTAAAATAAATAAGATCCTAACCAATAAAAGATTATGTAAGTTAAAATAAAATTAAACCTATTAATTAAGGATTTTTTTTTATTTTGAAAATATAATCCTAAAAAATTAAATTTCATTTTTGTATTTTTTATATATTTTTTTGGTTGAATTTATTATTATTTTTGTAAAATATACTCAAACAAAATACAGTGTTCACACTAATAATGATGAAACATTTGCTCCAATTGCAAGGCTTAAGGCTATTAGGCCTTTCTTGGTTTTGCATATGTTAAAGACTTTAAGTTATTTTAGATAGATGTTAAAAGTGCTTTTTCATATAGACTAATCACTAAGGAGGTATATGTGGAATAACCTCCAGGCCTTAAGGATCTATCTATGTCATGTATTCAAACTAAAGAAAGCTTTGTATGGTATGTTGGATAAGGAAGTGCAGCGAATGATAAAAAAATTTAAATCCCCATCCTTATGTAGATCAAACGAAGTCGTTTAAATCAAGGTGGATGGAATAATTACCTTTTAATTTTGAGTTCCTCACGTGTTGTCTACAAGTAATTGGATTTCAAGAAATGATAACATAGATTTGCCCCTCTGCTAGTATCTACACGAACAGCTTCCCAACACGAATAACATGCTAGCGCTCTTTGTATCTAATGTGCATCCGTTCGTTAATTTAGACATCCTTTTGTTTACTAGGAATTTTTTATGGCTCTCAGAGGTTTTTGCCGTCAAAGGACTTTCTCTATTTTTCTATTCCTTTATGCATGTCCCCTTATATTTATTATATATATATATATATATATATTAAGGTTTTTGCCTTGCTCTTGAAGAGCCAACTATAATTTAGATTAAATTTATCTCATAAATAAAATTTATAATATCATATTTAATTTGAATTTATCTTATAAATTCAAACTATAAATCTGATATGATATTCTCTTATATTATGTTAGTTATTAAATTTAATCTATCATATAAAATTAAATTTAAAACTAACTCAATATAATATAATATAATATACATATTATATATATACACGAATATGTGTGTGTGTGTGTGTGTAAAATTATATTTTGAATTTTATATTTTATAAAAAATATATATATATTTATCAAATAAATATTCAAATATATATATATATATATAATTCATTCACCCTATATTACATTCATTGAATCTAGACATATTTTAGATTCAATAAACTTGGACATTATAACTCGAGTTAGGCAGTTCTTGTATATGATCTTGTAAGCCCACATGAAGTTGGTAGTAAGCTAATTACCCAATTAGCCTACAAGTCACAAGTGGCATTTAGCAAGACATTGCAACTATTCAATTTATATAGGGATTGATGATCCAATGCAATCTATCATATAACCCTATTACATCTCTCTTATCACATGATATTTCAGTCAAGATTGAAACATGAAATTGTCATTCTCCTTTACCTAACCATTACTTTCTTAATCTCTGAGTGGACTGATTATAACAATGAAAAATCCTTTCCATTGTATGGCCATATATTTTCTCAGTTTTACTTATCGAGAGACTCAATAATATATCTTACTTAATGTGAAAGATAAATTTCATCTTGACCAATCATATTCTTCTACATGAATATCACTAAACTCAATCATAGCCTTTATGATCACTCGATCAAAGGTGACTTTTAACTAGGTCAAAATTCAATGGTCATCATGTAGGAATTCATAATAATCTCAAGTCAAAGGGCTTAGTAATATGGTTGCATATGAGATAAATTTATGACTTGTACCATACAGCTTTCTCATAATGGGTCGATCTAACACCTTATACTCTTTCAAATACCTATGACTTTAATTTATATCTCTATAATTAATCAAAGTTATACCAGTCTTGTTTCATCTACGATCCCTCAGATATGATCGACCAGGGACATTTAGGATAATCATTATAGTTTGTCTAAAAATACAGTTATTATAGTGAACATGCAATAAATCTGATAACAAAAGAGAAATTCATTAAATAACAATATTTATTGTACAATGATTGACCCTAAAGCACAATTTTTAATATGGTCCTAAGCAAGCTCTTAGAGCTTGGTATAATAGACTAAGCACCTTCTTTGTAATATTTGAGACAGAATTAACCCTTGATGAACTAAGCTAAATAAGGAAAATTTAGTAAATTAATGTGGTGTGTGGCGAGAAGGTGTAACAAATGTTTTGGGTTATGATTTTAGCTATAGGTTTGGGTTCAAAGCAAAATCGACTTATCCAGACCTTAAAAGGGGAGAAAATCATAGGAGCATGAATCTATGCCACATGTCACAATGTGTACCTCCTCTGCCACAACATGTGTGGCAACTTACAAAGGATAGGCCTCTTTGTGCCATGCGTTGTGATGTGTGTTGCAAGCGTTGCAATACATGGTCAAAATTTTATAGTCACAAGACTACGTTGGAATTCAAAAAGGAGAAAGAAATAAAGAGTACAATGAAGAGCTAGGATTTTCTCTGCTGGAGCTTGCAAATTGGAAGGTTTGGGAGCATTTTTTAGCCATCGAATACCAAAGGCAAGATTCCTAAACTCTTTCCCTCAGTTCCTCTTACATTTTCTATAAATGTGAAAGCTAGGGTTAGTTAGGGACTAGTTAAAAGGGTTAGTCCATCACGACATGATGAACAATATTCTAATCCTTGTTAAGAGAATTGTTTACATTTAGTGCTCAATAATATCTTGAACCTCTAATAGAAAGATACTTGTAAGTGAAAAAAAACTCTATTTAACTTTCTACTTATAAGTTATTTTGTTTTCCCTGAAAATTAAAGTTGAATCATGTGTTTTGATGATAACAAAATTAAAAAAAAATGTTTGTTACTTGTGCAGATCATATGCATTGACAAAGTGACAAAATATCAAAGCATATAAATATTAAGAGAAGACTTAGTTTTATAGATTTATTTATTTTGTCATTCTCTTATATTTAATTATAAAAACTAACGAGAGTTGTCAAATATTTTGAAAATGATAAAAATGTATTATATTAGAATTTATCTTAGGCTCACAAGTCTATTGAACTTAAATGTCAAACTTTTTGGAATGCACTTTTGTTGAACTATCCAATTTAAGCATGTTTTGAAATTATTTTGACTTTTTTTCCCCAAACTAAACTAAAGCTTTAAAATTTTTTAGAATCCACCAATAATTAAGTTTCTTCTGTGGCCCTTAACTAAAATTCTCCCAAAAATAAATGCAACTTATTACATACTTTTTATGTATCAAATTATAAAACAATTTGAAATAAGATAGGCATGCTAATAAAATATAATAATAATACTTTACAAATTTATTTTTCCAAAACAAAACTAGAAACTTTCAAAAATATTCTTACGTACTTAATTATTACGCTACAATATTATTTCAATCCTCTCAAGTAATATTGAAAAAGCAACATTAATAAAACCTTATTTTATTTTTAAATTGTTTTACATTTTAGGATATAAATTCTTTCAACATTATCTTATAATTTGAGATAGAGAAAGTAACATATACTTTGATTTTTTTTAAATATTTATATTTTTGTCAGGATATAATATCACCATGCTCATATTTATAGTGATAGTATACTTTGTTCTTAACAATTTGACTGCAATACTATAGAAAAAATTATTTTTCCATATATTATACTTTCAAAAATATTTTTCCATATACTATAAATTTAAAAATTGATTTGATACAAATCGAGTTTTAAACTTTTTTTACCTAAGAGTATGGAATTTAGCAAGTTCTATACTTTATTTAAAAAAAAAGTTGATGTGACAAGCTGACAACTTTTTTTTTCCTTTTTTGTGAATAATTATTCATTTTTTCTTATTTTTTATTTTATTGCTCGGTATCTTAAAAAATTTAAAGGTATTATCACTTCTTACTTTGTTTAATGTTTGAAATGATTAAAATTTCAATGGACTATGATATGAAAGAAATTTAAAATTACAAAAAAAATATAATAAAAAATAGATAAATTTGGATTTGAAAATTAAATTTTTGTGTATCAAAAAAATAGATTTGATCCAATATAAATCATCATTGTCCCAAACACACTCGAACAAACTCATTAATCAAAATTTCTCATATTTGTATTATTGATGTCTCCATATTTTCTTATCCCTATTCCTTATTTTTCATCAATTGAAAAATAGAAGTTAACACATCATTTGTAATTTTTTATTTTTGTTTTAAATGTCAACTTATCTTTCTATTTCATTTGAAACTTTTTAAATTACCTTAATAAAAAATTTAAACATATAAATTTTAAATGTCAAATTTAAAATGTGATATTTTAAATATAAAATTTATATAACAATTTGTATAAATAACAATCACGTACAACAGGAATTCGCATTAATTTGAATAAGAAGTGATAATGTTTTCAAATTTTAAAAGATATCGAGCAGTAAAATAAAAGAAAGGAGAAAAGAATAATTATTCACACAAAATAAAAATGGTGGGCTTATCACATCAATTTTTTTAATAAAATATAAAATTAAAAAATTTGAAACATGATCCACATTAAACTGATTTTTAAATTTATAGTATATGAAAAACTATTTTTGAAACTGCCTTTGTTCTTCAAAGCAAGCGAATTCGTTTTCCTCTCAACGTCACGCGCCCTTCCCCGGGAACCCGGCGACTCAACGCCTCTACCGTACCGCATTACCCTACTCTTCCTTCCCCCTTCTATCATGCGGCCGCCACTCTTCGTCTTCCTCTTTCTCTCTCTTCGTTCCCGCTTTGACCCTTTTCACCTGTTCTTCCTCTTCCTCTTCTCCGGCTACTCGCCGTTCCTTCTCCGATGGGGGATTTGCGCGACTCTCTCTCGCCTCCTGCGAACCATTCGCGCCCGATGGCCGTCCGCGAAGATTGCTGGACCGAGGAAGCTACCTCCACCCTCGTTGACGCTTGGGGTCGCCGTTATTTACAGCTCAACCGCGGCAACCTCCGTCAGAAGGACTGGCAGGATGTCGCTGACGCTGTCAACGTTCTCCATGGTCATACCAAGAAGACGCATCGGACAGATGTTCAGTGCAAGAACCGCATTGATACTATTAAGAAGAAGTATAAGTCTGAGAAGAATAGGGTTTCCTCCCCAAACGGGTCTCCTTCCGCCTGGCCCTTCTTCGATCGCTTAGACATTTTGATTGGGCCCGCTTTGAGTGCGAAAAGGGCGTCCTCGTTGCCTTCGGTGGCTCTTCCTTTGCCGTCTCGTAAAACCCCGTCCCCCGCATCTGCGGTGCCCGCGACGGCCTTAGCACTACCGCAGAAGCGGTCGGCGGCAGCACTATTAGAGGATGGATACTTCAGGAGGAATTATTCAGCTATGGCAGCTGCGGCAGCTGCAGCAGAGGCTGATGATGATGAGGAGGAAGAGGAGGAGGAGGGGGATGATGAAGATGAAGAGAGGGTAAGCGAGGTTGAGGAAGGAGAGAGGGAGAAGGGAGGGGTGAGGATGTTGGCAAAAGCAATAGAGAGGTTTGGGGAAGTTTATGAGAGAATGGAGAGAGAAAAATTGAGGCAGATGGTGGATTTGGAGAAACAGAGGATGCAGTTTACTAAAGATCTGGAAGTACAAAGGATGCAGATGTTTATGGAAACGCAGGTTCAGCTGGGGAGGGTCAAACGCGGGAAGCGATCTGGGTCTAATGGTGAGTTAGAACTTTCTCATTTTCTTCTCAAGTATTGGGTTGATGGCGTAGCATAAACTTTAGTGATCTATTTTGGATGTTACCATTTAGTAAGCTTAAATCGTGGTTACTGGCTTTCGGTTTGCAAGGGGCGGTTGATTGTTGTTTGGTGGGAGTAGGTTTTTGGAGTAGATTTAGTGTACAGAAAAAACAGTCGTTTTATGTGATTGTTATTTCTTTTTACAATTAAATAAGCTAGTCGTACTCGTGGGCTTTCTTACATTGTTATAGAAAGTTCTTCATAATTTATTTAATCTGTCCATGAATTGAATATATGTATATATATATATATATATATATTAAAAAAAGAGTTTCCTTGTTCAAGCTTTTGCTTGTATTTTCATATCTATAGTGGTGTGGCGTTTGTTTGCATTTGGCGACAGCAAGAATGGCATTACTTGTGTTATAAAGTCATTGACAGTGAAGTTTTCAAGCAAGTTATTGCATTTTTTTTTTCTCAGGGGGAAAAGCTTAGCAGTTTGTTTTCTGATGCACCCCTTCATCTTCCTGTTTTGGGAGTAATTGCTAGTGAATGTTGCCATTATCCAGGCTGAGACCGCAGGTGCCAGAACCTCATAACTCTAGTGCAAAAGGGCTGGGTAACCAATGGCCATATCATAGAAGAAGTGAGGCAACCAATGCAAATAAGTTAGAAAACTAATATATGTAACTAAAATTTATAAAAGGAAAGCCAAACTTCAATGCAAATTAAGTCATGAGAAATATCAACATTATAAAGTAACATGCAGTCATATGATAAGAATAAAAGCCTAACTATGCACACAACCAAATACAAAATAAGACATAAAAGACTAAGACCTAAGAAGCATTGCCATTTTCACTAATGTGGACATGGATGTGAACAATGCTTCATCTTAGACTTGACTGTGCTTCGTAGAGTAATACGTACTTTCTTTCTGTCCTGAGAGTTATTACATATTTCTTGCAGCTTGCAATATATATATATATATATAGCAGCTTCATACGTCTAAAACAGTGTATAGCTTTGCTAGCGGCACCAAGGAATAGGATTGAAGGCTGTTTTCTTACTACTATGTGCTTCAAACTCCCATATTTGACTCCAGTTGCCTTTGTTTTGGATACCCCTTGGTCCCTGAGTGATTAAAGTGAAGACAAAGATGTAGTATTGCATCAAAGGCTTGTTGATTCAGAAAGTGGTTGGTTTTCAAGTTATCACTATGATACAGAATTGTAATTCTGTATGAAAGAGAAAATAGAGAAGAATGTGAGAGATTGGAGAGAAGAACAGAGAAGAGAGAAGAATAAAAAGATTCAGGGAGATTGAGAGAGAGAGAAATAGAGACACAAGAGGATTCATTGAATAATATGCAAATTGTATTGATGACTTAGCATAGGATTTATATTGAGATCACAAGTATTTATAGGCTTCTAATATGGCTATCCCTCTTATAACTAACCTAACGGCTAGTTCCTAATAACTTGCTAAGTCACAATTACAATTACATGACACACTAACTCTATTTTTTTTTTTTTAAACCATGAGTCACTGACACTAAGTTGGGTTGACGTTTGGATGAATAAAATGATGTTGCTAAAATGTATAAATTATTTCAAGATGCAAAATGATTTTTCTTTTTTTGTTTCTTTTTAAAACATGTAATTTGTTTTTTGGCCAGAATCTTTAAAACATGTAATTGAACTAACAAGTCTGGCAATTGGGCAGTCAGGACAGATTAGGCATTTCTGATGTATGAAGCTTGAAACTTTGTATAATATTTGTTAAGAAATTGTGGTTGTTCTCTGTCTTTTTGGAGATATCCTGCAAGAAAGCATATTTACGAGCTAGGAGGAAAGGAATTCCATCTGAATTTGAACAGTGGCTCCTTGGTGTGTGCTGGCAGTATGTTCAGTAGATGCCGTTAATTTTTTCAGGTATTTACTAGGAGTCTAGTACAGTAAATTTGCATTTGCTTTGTGATGTTAATATGTTTGAATTATTCTACTTAGGCCTGAATGATGGTATATTTCCTATTGTATCAAATTTTTTTGGTGCTCATGTCCTTGTTTGTTCTTGCCTCTATTTGATGTCAAGCAGTTGGTAATGGCATTAAAATTAAGTTGTATTCTTCTTAAACAAAGTCTCAGGTTCAAGTTTTGTGGGTGAAAAATATCACGTGGGAAGGGCTTTCTCTCATTTAGATCCTGACTCAGGTTGAATTCAGTTTATTCAACTGTATTGGATAATGGATAATGTCACCAAAAGAGTGTATTTTTATCATGCCTTCTTGATAAATTTTTATTATGGAAGACGTCCCTAGAAATTGGAAATTCGTGGTTCTGTTGAATACAATTCTTGCACGGATTCTGCAAATCTGATGGACAGTATTATAACTGTCCCCCGAAGATGTATATGGTGTAGCCTTTTCAAGTCTTATTTACAGGCTAAATTTAGGAAAGTGCAATAGTTTAGTTGTATTAAGAGGGTTTGAACCCTAAACAAGAATAGTACGGTACTATTAAGACAAGCAAAGGTTTTGACATGCACAGAATCTCTCCAGTGTGATGATAATATTTTACATATTCAAAATATAGATAAAATATGTTAATTTTTTCTCCAAAAGTAGGTCTCCAACAGAAAAAGTAGTGTGTGACACACCTGTATAGGAATGAATGCCTTGCTGCATATCATTAGCGGAACAAAACGGTGACCTCAATTTACATCGGTCAAAGTTTATTATTTTCATATGACTTGCTATAGAATATTAACACGCATCAAAGAAGAGTTTTCATTTTGTAAAATGAAATACCATTTATTTAGTAGAACCAGGCAAAGATTCTCCCAATTGGCACTTTAATTCCATTCGCGAATTTAAATATCTTTGGGACACGGGAAGTATCTTTATTTGATTAACCTGCTCCTCGTTGTTTTAGAATAATTGCTCTGGACAAGTATGCTTGCATTAGGCATTATACATTTTTGGTGGCAAATGCTTTTTTATCTTATTATCCTGATACTCAGAGCGGTCTTCTTTCTAGATTTATCACTTTAAATGCTGCTACTTGTCTTCTGTCCTAGTTGATTTTAAAATGAGTTAAAAGGTAAAAATGCCTCAACTTTTTCATGTGGGATGCCTGATATTCTAATTTTTTTTTTCTTTAAGCAATGTCACCTTGAAACTTTTAAAAATGGTAATTTAGACTAACTTTTGACCGTTTAATTCTACTTTGACCACACATGTCATTTTCTCCCTCTGCCTTAACTGTTCCTCTTCTCCATCTTCTTCCTTCTCTTTATGCAAGTCGCACTATAAGCTGCCTCACACTCACCGCTTACTGCCTAGTTGCAATTAAAGATAGCAAAGCAGAAGCTCCACCTATTTGCATCTTGTCAGCCCTAGAGGAACAAATGGCAGAAATAAGAGAAGGAAAACTAGATTCATTAGATTCCCTTCTCTCGATATGAAGCTTTTGACCTTGAACATCATCAATGGACCTGCACAATGCTGCAAGAGGTCAAAGTTTTATCGCATAAACATCTTCTCCTCCAAAGCGGCCACTTTGAACTCGATGGTGGTTTTTTTACCTATGCTCAATTACAGAGTCACACGCCACTTGGAAATAGAGACACACGAAGAACAAGCATGGGTCTCTCAAACATTCCTAATATATCCGAAGGGGTTCTTGTTGTTCTTGTGGTGAACACGAAGCTCTCAGTGGTTCTTTTGAAGAACATGATGAGATTTGCTCTAGAAGCTGTTGGTGTGCATGACGTCCTCGTCACGGTTCTCGTCATCATATTCTCAAAACATGGATGAACTAATGAAGAATTGATGAAGAACGAGAGAGAGAGAGAGAGAGAGAGAGAGAGAGAGAGAGAGTTGGAGAAGGAGGGTGTTGATAACACAGTACAAGGAGGTTTGCAGAGGAACATCAAAAAGTGAAACTGATTCGTGTCAGTGGATTGGGTAAGGTGGAGTGTTGCGTGTATGTCTGTGTGGGTTCAAAGCGAATCAAGAGTTGAGTGAATTGCCCTGCACTCATTTCTTCCACAGAGGTTGCTTGGACAAGTGGTTTGATAACAATCACTTATCTTCCACAAAGGTTGCCAATATCGGTGCTGGTTTGAACTCGATGGTGGCCATGGGAGTTGTGGAAGATGAAACATAAGCTTTGATGGCATCTCCTTCCTTCAGACCAGCAACGCATGCAGGAAGATGATCGGCATCACTAGCAAGACCTTCCACCAGCATAGAGCGTGACTTGCAGAGGGAGAAGAGGAACAGTTGAGGGATTGGGAGAAAATGACCCGTGGTGTCATTTGACAGTCAAAGGTTAGGCTAAGTTAACGGTGGGGCAAAATTCTATTCTTTGTGAAAGTTTTGGAACATTATATCAAAAAAATGTTTTGAAAGTTGGAAGCTTGACTGCTGTCTAAATGTTTCTCTTGACTCGAACATGATAGCATAATGTGAACATTGCGGCAATAAACGGTTTAAGCAGTTACTACTTCAGAAATAAAAGGTTTAAATTAAAATTGGGGCATGCAGTGATTTAAGATTTTTGATGAATTCTTGAATTCCTGTAATTAAATTTTCCTTGTGAACTAATAATAATTGATTAAATATGTTCGTTGCTGCAGATATGTATTGCTAGCCAAGTGCCCCAAGGTTTGACGGTGGTTTCTGATTTGGAAGGCTTTTTGGGATTCTGCTTCTTAAAGTATAATCCTCTGGCTCTGGTAATGTATCTCTTAAGCTGCTGATAGGGATGCCATCATCAGGGAATACCAGCTAAACTTTGTCATAACTTCAGATTCTTTTAGCTGCATTTTTGTCTGTACGTACGCGTCCCTTAACTGTAACTCGTTCCAAGTAGAGCTCTGATATACAATGTCTAATGTAGGTCACCACTGTTTCTAACAAGCTTTCCAGTTTCCACTCTTCCAGTAAGCTTGAGATAATTAATAGGGGAATGATATTTCTTCCAAAAGTTGAAGGGGAAGTATGTGTAGTGATCAGTGTTACCTTTTCTTTTCGTCTTCGTCTTTTTTCCTACTAACGTGTAGTGTTATCTTCTAATTTAACTAGTTAATAAATTTGAAATACGTTTACGGTTTATCATGGTAAAATGTTGCCGAGAGAGGATTGCGTGTTGCTAAAAGTAAGTTTGAGGATTGAATCATGTGGTGTGCAACTTGTAAATAGTTTGGCTTTTTATGTTGTATGTTCTATTCTATTCTCACGATGTTTTGATATGGATGACTCCCAATTACTTTTTAGAAAACTGATAATGATATTATAATATTAAAATTATAAAATTATAAAACATTGTATTCTATTGTCATCTACTCCCTCTAATATAAAAGATAATAAAAAAAAAGTGATTGAGTATAGTTATGTATGAAATTAAAAAATTTAGATTAAATTATTCCTGTAATTAATAAAACAAATTTGTCTAGTAAAAATAAATATTAGTTGTATGAGGAATAATTTTAAGAAAAGTGATAGATGTTCTTTTGAAATTTGTAGTTTTGTTTATAAATAAAAACAAAGAGACATATAAAATTGATAGTATTTTGAGTAACTTTTTAGAGAAAATTGCTCCAAAAAAAAACCTATTCATGAAATTGATTGTGGAGAAGGACTTGTTATAATTATAAGAATAAACAATTAGATCTAGCAAAATAAGGTAGGTTTTTACAACAGGATGGATTAAGTTTTAAATTTTTATTAGATATACTTTCAATTAATTTTTGACTCTACCTCAAATAAAATTACTTTCAAGAGATTATTTATAAATAATAATAAAAAATTCATGTGATAAGGGCAATAAAGTTTAAGGGTGAAATGATCCGGAAAATTTACATTGATATCCGAAAATATATAATGCAATTGGACATTTTTTTCGGGTGTTCTCACTTTTTCCTAAAAAAATGTCGTGCAATTTTGCTAATATCCCTCAAATTTGGGTAGATGCTAGATAGGCTTTAGAGTTTAGAGTGAAGGAAGGAAGAAGAAAGGGAAAGGACATAATGACAATTTGGTCATTTCACTCTCACCCCTTTAGTGCCTGTCTTTTTTTTTTTTTTTTTCCCGATCTTTTAGCCATTAATTTCATGAATGGGTTCCTTTTAGCAATTTTTCCGTCTTCTTAAATAAGGTAGAGACAATGGGTTATAATAATATTATCAGTATTATTAATTAATATGTTAAATATTCACGCCTCATGAGACGATGAACTAGGGAAATAATTTTAGGGTGATGAATAATTTTGTTACTTAAAAATATGGAGATATTTTTTCCTGGACAACGAATATATTTTGTGTCGTCCTTACTTCCCTCTCTTTGATATCATCAAATTTTAATTTCATCCTTAAAAATAAATAATTAATTTAGTTCAATCATCTGCAATGAATAGTGATGGGTAATATATATTCTCGTTAAAAATATATATGTCACACATTATATATTTTTTTAAAAAAATATAATTCTTAATTCTAGGTACAAATGGCTTCGGTGGGTTGAATTCTCTTTTTTCTGATTTTCTAAGGCTATACAAATTTTAAGTTGATCATAAATATGGGTAGCACCTTGCAAGGGTAGGGAATACAGCTAGGCTATTCAACGGTTTAAAGAGGATACATATAAATGAATAAGTAACACTATATCTTAAGTCAAAGCTTTAAGATATTTGAATTTACTTAAAATTTTTTTTCCATTTATGTATTTTCTCTCCAACGTAACTCAGTCAGATGTGGGACTTTTCCCGTATCAAGTGAAGTGTGAAACATCCCAGCAATGTGGGCAAAAGTCTTCCCCGCTCCACCTGTGATCTCCCAGTTCACAAGGCAAGATATTGCTTAAGTTTCGCAGTCTGCTTAATTTATATCACTTCTAATCCGTGGGCGCTTCGAGAAGATAGACCTTACACACACACAAAGATCGTCATTATATTGGAGATTTCTGCAACAACGCATATATATATATATATATATATATATATCGAGCATCACAAATGAAGCGTTGAAGTTTTGCTTCAAATTATGGTGCCAGGGGAAAAAAAAATGAAACCATGCATTAGAGAAAGCTGTCAAATTGTAAAGCGCAGTTACAATATTAGTACTATCACTACATTACGTAGGTTTTTAATTTATATATCTGAATCTGACGTGTATATTAATAGCTTGTAATGACTGAGCTTATTAATTATTATAATGTCTAACCCAAGCGAGACATTTGGAGCGGTGGATAGCATGGAGAAAGATATTAATTTGCCTTAATTGATGGGATATTTTAAGCTAACATTAATATCTAATATCCATAGGTAACAATGTAACATATACATATAAATATGCATGGGAAGACAGCAGGAGTAGTAATCAGAGTAATTAATTAAGGTGGTTTTACCGAGACTATAAATTCTCTGCATTATTACTTAACCACACATTGATTTTTCTTTCCCTTCTCTTTGCCGAAATACGTGGATGACGCAGCACATCAGCCAATGCTCTTCTTTCCCTTCTCCATATAACAGTTCTGCTAAATCCAGCTTCTTCGTCTTTCGTATAGCCCTGCATGTAACCATTACTCCTCGAACTGAGATCATACATACACTATAAAATTTTCTTTCCACTCCCCTAAAGCACAAGGCCCAATGATTTTAGGAGGGCATATGAGTAAAGATGACGAGCGTTGTTTCTATCTACTATTATCTAAAAATAATCAAGTTATTAATGACTAGACGAAACCAAAAAATAACTCCTCAATTGTGCGAAATTATAGAGGATCCCCTTTAAGATCAAACAATTCCATCGAATTGAGTATGATAGTATGTGTGATAGCATCTACTATACCAAGAATATCAATGAACCCGATTATTGAAATTGCTCAAAATACCCTTTTTTAGCTTCTAGAATCTATTTTTTAGTTTGACACCACATCTTAACCCAGATTGTTTTTACTTACATGCATCTTCTTTAATCAACTCTATCCGATTTTCAAGAAGACACGTACGTCATACTGGGTCACATCTCAGAGGAGGGAAAAATATAATTGAGCCACCTAATTCTTTCAAGAAAATACATATAAATGAGTATGATACTATATCTTAATCCAAAATTTTAAAGCATTGAATTTATGGGTCTTTTTCACTTAAATACCTCTTCTCTAATTCAACTCTATTTGATATGTGACTTTTTTCCCATGTCACTTCAAGCGAACTCACACTTGACATTACAATCCATGTTGACCTTGATTAGAATGAGTACGATTGAATTATAATGAAGACACGTATAATATATCTAGTTATAGACCCACGTACTCGCATCCACTAAGCAACAATGCCTAATGCAACAGAGTTCTCCACGAAGAGATGGAGATTGATTTTCCGCTTTGATTACAGCATTAATAAACGTTGTCTACTAATTAAATCACACCTGGCAAGACTTCCCTTAAGCATGTATAAGTCCATATATATATATATATATATATAATCAATTGCCTTTTAATCAACTCTCTGATAAGCATATTTACAATCATGAATGCATTTCTAAACTCCAAGCAGATAAAAATTTCAGTATACAATTGCTAATTTAATTTGCAACTGGTTCTTAATTTGGCCTGACTAGCTAATTTCCTGAGTGATGAAAATTCCTGTATTTATAATTTGTATTACAGTCTCACTTTATTTATATGTTTACACAATCTGATTAGAAAATGTGACTCCCGCCAATTTCACACGGTTTAATTAGCTGACGTCCCAAGGATTGTTAGTTATTTGAGCTAAATTAAAGTTGCTCGTATTTGGACTCCAAGCTATATTGTAATGTCTTAATTAACTAAGACTATGAGGCCAGGTCATCTAAGAAGATTGTTACCTCTATGCAGTATTAATTGTCTTAATAGCTTTTACGTACCTTATAAAGAACGATAAAATTAGAGAAAAAAATATCAAGAGAGAGCTAAGCACTTTCCCTATCTCTAAATTCATCCTCATGAGGTATTTCAGGAGATCCTCTTCCAAGCACCTTCATCCTTAGTTACAACATTTGGAACATTAAAATTCCAATACTTACCAAAACCTTTTACATGCTATATGCAAAGGACAAAACCGGACAAAACCGGTGTTAGGTTGTTTAAGTGTAAGTAAATTTAAATAGATGTGGGAAGTTTCATATTGAATAAAGTTGAGTCTTGAGATTTTAAATTAAGATATATGATGTTTTTTCATTACTCTTGCCCGTTTCTCCTTTACCCCTGATTCCTGAGCAATCACTCTCCATTCCTAACAACTAGGTTTATGAATTATATTGATTCAAACTAAATAATTATGGCAAAATTTTAGGTGACTTAGCTTCAAACTTTTACAAACACACAAGAAGGGTACTTTTTATTTGCCAAGGATTTTATATAGAACATTGGAGGCAAATTTATACAAATTTAATATAAGGATTTAATTCTTGAGTGTAAGGAGCTAAATTAAAATCTTGAACTGTAAGTAGACTGTCAGTGTGAGTACATCGTTTACAAATTAAGGAACGTGCTTTTGCGCTTATAAGATTTTAATTCAAATCAATCATTAATATGTTAAAAGTTAAGCGCAAGATTATGTAAAGAAAAGTCTTATATTAAATAGAGTTAGATTAAAACACTAGAGGTATATGCGTTTAAAAAATCCAGGGGCTTATTAATTATTAATGTTTTTTGAGATTTTTATTCGAAATGCGGTGTTGAACATATATTTATAAGAACCTCTCCAAAGCCCATGAAGATCCCCTTTGTAGCCCCAATCAACATCCTTTCTTGTACACAAAAAATGTAAACAGAAAGTTCAAATGTATTATATTATCTTATGCTACATGCACCAACATGACAAATTCAAAAGAAAAGAAAAATAAAGCAAAAGTCTATTTTTCATTTTGTGTGTGTGTGTGTATTCAACCCTTTAATAACGTAAAGTGCGTATTTGATATTTTCTTGTCATTCATCCAAGTCTTCATTGATCGAACCAACTATTATCATTATAAATCTATCCAAGCATAAACTATATTCACATACACTCTCGTCTAAATCTATGGAAATAAACACACACACACACACACACACCCCTACTGTATATAATTCTAGCTACTAATCTTTAAATTGTGCGTATAGGAAGCCAAATTATGCACAAGTACACATTTCTAGTTGTCTTATAATATGTTCAATTAAACAAATTTTCACATTTTATAATAAGTACAAAGTATTTTGGAACTTTTGGTAATTCCAATACGGAATTCACACAGCATTGATATCTACTAAGATTGTAAAGAGGACTCATATCTACTGTGGACAACAAAAGACAATCAAATGACAGTAATTAACCAGACAAACCCAAAAAAGAAAAGACATATTGTAGTGCTCGCTAGGCCACTAGCCTTCACACATCCACTACTAATTAACTTGGTTATAAAATGAAACATCTTAAAAGGTATGGTCAACATATTGAACAACTAGTTAAACCCAATTTCGTAGGTTCCTAAAAGAAAATAGGAGGGTGATATATAACAACAAAGTTCAATTTATATGCTCCAAACCAGCATTTGAAACTAGAAGGAGTGATATTTGTATATACATTCATTTGCTTGGATTTTATATCTGGGAATTCGAGTATGTTTATGTTTCTACGTCAATCTGTGTATGTAATTACATGCAACGTAATGACACATGAAGGGCCACACAAGAAATATGGGGAGCACAAAAAATCCAGCAGAATCAGAGAAAAGGCCCAAATTAAGTATAAAGTAAACACCCTGAGAGGAGTATTTAATTAGGAAGCTGCAAAAACAGTGATTTGAATGATAGGAGAGAGAAAGTAACAATGGGAGAGGGATTATTCTCAATTCTTTTCAGCCTAACAATAGTCTCCGCTCTTGTGAAATGTTAATTGTCTAGGCAAAACTGTCCAATCCCCCATTATTTTACTATCTGCAAAATTAGGGTTTTTACCCCTACTTCTAGGGTTTCGTACGCACACTACGTACGGTACAAATCAATGTAATCCTGTGTATATGTACTTCAAATCAATTTCCTAGTGTCTGATCTCTATTGCATCCTCTTATCTTGTGTCTTTCTGAGCGAAATATCTTCCATTATTCATTCATCTATATGAAACAGAATATATATATCTATATATATACCTGAAACGAAAGCTGAGGGAGGCGCACATAGTTACGTTTTATCAAGAAGCCGTTTGCTTGAGAGTCTTGGCTGTGTGATCAGGTCCCTTAATTTGGGGTCTCTTCTTCTTCTTCTTCTTGTACAGAATTCCTCTTGCCTTTGCCTGACACTCCTTCACTTCACGCAGATACACCCTAATAGCTCCACTTCCGAAAGGATTATTCTCCGGTGAGCCTCCATGCTCTTCGAAGGCGGCCCGTAGACGTCCGATGAGGGCGTCCAGGCTTCCCCAGGCCTGCCTGAGGGGACAGGTGCAAGGGGCAGGCGGGTCGGGTTGGCCGAAAAACACGCAGCCATGTAAGTGGACCTTAGTCTTCCCGAACTGATCGAGGTATCGCAGAAATTCTAGGACATGGTTGTAGTTACATTGAGAGAGAGAAACAGAAGGTGTCTGGTTCTTCAGGTACTGGCCGAAGGTGTTCCAGTCTCGCCGCTTCTGTGACTCGTACCTGCTCAGCGGCGTTGTCTGCTGTTTCTCCTGCTGATCACCAACGACCCCGGCTCTCCTTGCCGACGAGGTTGCCTGACCGGAATTGATTTGAAATTCGCCGGACACGGTAGCCATGGCTATATTGCAGAGAAGGTAATTGGTGTGGAAGGTTCCAGATATTAAGTTAGTGGTTTGGGGACAATGGAAATGACAATTTGGGGAGGAAAGGAAGGTGAAAGAATGGGGTTTAGTGCAGTGAAGAAAGATGAAAATCACGACTTCTTTGAGAGGACATGTCATGGGCCCCTTTGAAGCTGCTTTTGCACCCTTTTTCTTCTCTCTCGTTTTTGCATTTCCATCTTTTTTCACCTATATATATGCACCAAGATTTTCTATATATTTTTTAAAAAAAGCATTCCTTTTTAAAACTGGGTCAGATTTAAGAATCGCCGCATTTAATTAAGAGTATATTTACCAAAGACATTTTATGGGTGTGTTTGCATTTCAATTGATAAAAATTAATTATAAAAAAATTGATTAACAAAAATATTTTTTGAAATTGATTTTGATAGTTCGAAAAAATGTAGAGTGTTTGAATAAAATTTTAAAAAACCATGATTTTGAGCTCGAATCCCTGCATGCTTAAACAATTATAATCCTTTTCACTATAATCAACTCTTGTTTGTTAAAAGAATTCTTTTTACTAATACGCAACGTAATAACATTTGGTTGATTCTTCAAAGGAAAAAAAAATGGGACATAAAGGTAATTCAATTGTATTATATTATAAAGATGTTTGGCATCATCAATAATACAATGATTGTTACTTTCACAACAGGCATCATGGTCTCGCACACTTGGTGCGATTAAGAGTCATGCATAGTTGGTTTATTTTGTCTCTGAGTGGAGGTGAACCAATTAATTAGATGACTCCTAGTCGGTGCTTACTGCTTTAAGTCCAAGGCTAATTCGATTGGGGAATTTCATTATTTGAGATCTAACCATTGATTAGCGTCTATTTAATAATACTGATTTTCTTAATTAGATATACATCGTTTTCACCGAGTGTGACCTCATAATTATGTAAATAATATATATATATATATATATATAACCATCAAATCAACCCTCTCTCTTAACCTAAAATTGGTTTATCTTTTCTTTTAGCAAGTTAAATCGTGGCCAACCAGTTTTATCACCAGAGAAAAAGATATCATGGCCCACCAAAACCGAATTAATATATTTTTAACAAATATGATTTAATAGAAGATATGTATGATGTAATAATAACAAAGTTATCCAGTCTGGATGTGCATATATAGAAAGCAGGGAACTCCTATTCATACTGCAATTTATAATTTACTTTTACCGTATTTTATCAAAATAAAAAAAATTATTAACTCTATTTTAAAATTTAATGAATTTTTATCTCTATTCTACTCCTAAGAATAAAAAATTATTTTTAATAATTTTTTGTAATATTTAACAAGAACAAAAAGATAAAAAATTAAAATTAATATTCTCTCTGTTCTACAAATAAGGTTAGAGGAGTAGATTTTCTGTATGTAGAGCACCTAACATTTCAAACTAATATAAATTAAGTCAGGATATGACTCTTTCGGATATAAGCTCTACCAACAACGTTATCACATTTTCAAAATTCAAACTTGTGACATTCTTGTTAAATTAATATAACTCCATTACCAATAATTGAACCAAACATCAGGTATCTGTACATTACATAGATTAATTAGTGATGAAAAGAGATTAATTATTTGGAGGTTGGTTGTTAGTTGATTTCAGGTTTGCTAGTATTTAAGGCGGTTTTCAAAATTTGCTGTGAAGAGTAAAAACCGTATGGGGTCGGGAGAGATGAAGCTTGAATGCTGTTTGTGAGTTTTAAGCTCTAAATGTCCGGTTTGAGAGAGTACCATTGTCCATGCATGAAAACGACTTGTCGTTTATTATCGTCCCTCAATCCAACCATACACCATTAACACTGTAAAACATACTAGATTAACTGAACATCTCCCGCCTAGCTAGCTAGCTCAGGGTGATGGAAAAGGTATCATGAATATTTGAAAATTTTAGTCTATGAACAAAAAGTTTTCCCCATGATGGCTTGCCTTAATTTTTGTCACTAATAGCTATAGGACGTCATATATTCCTAATCTATTGGATGCTGCATCTGGCCCCACAGGCTCATTAGTCTTCATGTAACAATAATCACCCTTTTTAGGCTATGCTAGTGTTAAACATCTAACATTAATAGTCACATCAATTCCTAAAATTTTCTTTTCACTGCTCCTTGCTGTATACCGATCCCTTTTCAAAAAAAAAAAATCTCCATGAATGAATGAACCGTCGTACAAATAAATTAGACGATATTGTTACTTAAACACGTTAATTAGTAGTTAAGCATTGCCCTGTGTAAGAATAGCAATTGAGGAAACCGGTAGAATATGGTTTGGGTAAAGTTTCGTTTTTAACGCATATTGGTAATTGACAATCCAAGAAATGCTAACATTACTCTCTTTTATCTTCGTCAGGCACTGTAATTTGGAGTCGCTTGCAACTTCAAATTCAATATTCCAATGGTAGAGAGATAGTAAATTTGGGGGTTCGGATCCTCTCGGCAAGAAAATAATTTATTTTAGAGTTAAGGTGTAATTTTATTAAACTATTTTTAGAGGAACAATGTTATATTTAAATTACTCATCATAATAATGTTGCTCCTAAAACATTATCAAAGGAGCAGTGTCCTCCTTAAACTAATTAAATTCAAACAATGTTGCTTTTTATACTAGTGCAATTATATTCACATCTTTTCTAACATTCAATATTCATGTAAAAGTATTTATTTATGTCATGATATCCTCCACCAACATTCCAATGAATCATGGCCTATATATTGAAAAGAAGCTCAATTTTTATAATAATTTTCTTCAGCAAATATTACAATAGTTGAAGTATAAATTCACACTAACAACATTATAAGAGGAGCTCTTGATCCAACAAAAAGCATATAAACAATATTTCAAGGGTAAAAAAGTCACTTCTTATTGCCTTGAATGGATCAATGTAGAATATTACTATCATAAATAAATATACTCTCTTATATGTATTATAAACAAAAAAGTTTATACATAGACTATCATGAAGTGGTTGCCCAAAAACTAATTCAGCAACTAGAATGCCACAATTTAGTTAAAATCCTGACATGATTCAATGTTAACTAAATAGAGATAATGAAAAATGGGTCTCACTAGCTACAATTAATGAACGTTTATGATTTTTAAACAGCGAGAGCAACATTATTGCTTTGAGAATAATTTAAAGGCAAAATTATACCTTAACTCATAAAAAGTGGGTCCCACTAACTATAGTAAAGGATGTTTAATTGCTCTGATTTAATTAGTTTAGGAGTAGCATTGCTACGATAAATAGTTTAGAAGCAACATTGCTTCTCTAAGAATAGTTATTTAGGGGCAAAATTATACCTTGGCCTTATATTTTAAGTGAACTTTTACCATATCAATGTCAACTCATGAATGACAATGATGACTATCATTTTTTTAGGATAATATAAATTTTAATTTTAAAATTTTCTTTCAATTATCCCTTTAATCTTTGAAATTTAACTTCAATACTATTGTGTCCTTATAGTTTATTAAATTAAATAATAAAAAATAGAATTATCAATCTCTATAGTTACACTGAGTTTTGCTTTTAATCCCTGAAATTTTTTCAATCTTTTTAATTCTTATAGTTTCAATAAAGTTGGATAAGATTTATTATTAAGATTCATATAGTTTTAGTGTTTTTAGTCTAAAAATACTAAAAAAGTTAAACTACAGAGACTAAAAGCAAAATCTAAGAAACTAAAAGAACCAATAATTATGTTTCCCCATTAAATAATTATAGGGCATAAGTTGTATTGGGTAAAAAAAAAATTATAAGGATTAAATTGTTATGAATCAAGAAATTATAATTATTCAGTTGTTTCAAGTCAAAATTGATAAACTGAATTGATAATATATATAATTGTTTCTAGCAAAAAAAATTATATAATTGAAAAAATTCAAGAAATAAATGTTATAATTTTGCTTGTTTTTTTCGTAAAGTGCATGCGACATATGCATAGGTGCATTAATTGGCAGGAACAAAAGATATGCTTTGTAATGAAATTCATTTTATTATTTAAAATGCAAATGATAGATAATAGATGTTTAGTCCACCGTAAGCTTGGGTTCACGGAGATTATCTGATGAGAGTGAGTTGAGGAGTTGGTGAAGAAGATAAAAGAAAGGCAAAATAGGCATTAAGAGAGTTATAATTGCAATAACTGGCCATTGTGAACTTTCTATAAATTAAGGACAACATTATAATTCATTAATTGGAAGCAAGGATCAAGTGGTTAAATACAATAATATTGCCCCCACAGAAACTTTCCCCACGTAGATTCAGGCAATTAATAAGTTTTCGAGGAAAAGTTCCTATATACTGTTTCAAATAAAACAAATTCAACAGTAACTGATACTATATACAAGTGAATTATTTAAACTCAATCAATAAATTCCGAAGTCGCCGTCTCGTGAAGCGCATATACTTTGGCCAAGGTTCACATGAAACGTGGAGTCTTTAAGTTTGTTGAATAATCAGCACTCCCTCTAATTTTATTTATAAATCACTTCTAACACTTTTATTAAAATCAAAAAAAATCTTAATTAATTTCATTAACTCTATCAAAATATATCTACTTTAAAATAAAATATTCTATCATGTAATAAATTTTCTTATATTTAATAGAGGTAAAATGGTAAAGATAAACATAATAATAATTGAAGTGTCTTATAAATAATATTAAAATAAATATTCTCCCTCTATCCTATAAATAGAATCAGAAGAATAACTCTTAACAAACCACATAATTACCCGGAGACACATTTGTACTCTAATTATTTTATAAGTTATTTTTAATATATTTTATTAAAACTAAGGAAAATTTTAAAATTTATTAACTCTGTTTAAAAATTTAATAAGTTTTTAACTTTATCATTATTAAATATACATAATTTAATAACACATTTTCTCTCTCCAACATTCAAAGGAAGGTAAAAATAAAAATTTGTAATGAAAATTTATTGATGTGATTTATAAACAAAACTAAAATTTTTTTCTCTTTACTTCATAAATAGAACCAGGGAGAGTATGTAGTCAAAAGTTGATACTTGTCCTCAATTCACACATACATATACTCCTTTGAATTATACACACATATAAAATGTTTTTAACCGAATGATGTAAACTAATAAAAGTTAG